TTTTAAAAATTAAAATTCACAGTTTTTATTTTGAACACTCCTAACTGAAAATAGTATCTGAATTTATTTGCTGATTATAATACTTGCTTGCAAATTATTAAAGGCGCATATGTGCAGCATTTTAGGCAGCAACTTGTGAGACACAGGAGCCAAGAATTTCAGTTATTTTCCAAAGTAATCAACATACATTTGATAAAATGATAGTCTCTGATCTTGAACTTGAACTGATTTTTCTGGAACTCAGAATCACCTCTGTGATCTCTTCTTGTATATGATAGCGTAATTAAAATATTCATTTGCCTCTTCTATTCTGTGAAACAAAACAGAACAAAACATGAAATCAGTAGCTTTGTTTCCATTTGATAGGGAAGTTATGAAAATGCTTAAAAATACAAAAGCAAATTTGAAACAGAAGGGTTTTTTGTTTGTTTTCCATTGAAGTCAGCATTTTGGGAAGTAAAAAACAAAACAAAACAGAGACTAGTACATCTATACTTTGTACAGCAGGAATATGGTTATTATTCAGATGTATACACTGCATGTTACAGATGCTTTATAATTTTATAAAACAAAACCACGCACACACACACAATCACTGATTTTTAATCCTCAGTGCATTCTTGAGAATGGAGAGTGGTACTAAAGCAATTGCTCTACACCAAATAGTTACTGGGTATTTGATGTGAGTAATGCTATGCTGAAGATGGAAAGGGGCACATCCTTTAAATGTGCTGCTGGCCAGTATAGGTAAGTGAACTCGGGTTGTGTGGTGGCCAAATTGTTCCACACTGGCCCTTGACTTCAGAGTATTGAAGTTTCACCATTTAGTTCTTATGCAATTTCAGTGCATGGGATTAAACTAAGCAGACTGATGACTAATAAGGAGTCACCGTTTTTGGCAAATGGATTCTTTTCAAAGTCCAGTTTTATGGTTATTGGGAAAATTTTTAAGACAGCTGAGTTCTTTTGGAGGTCGTAAAGATCAATATCTCTTTCTTACTTTCTATCGAAAACTCCCCGAGTGAGGCACTCATCCCCACAACCGAATCCATTGCTTCTTGTATTTCTTTAATCTTGATCTTGTTTGAAAGGAGCTTTATCCAGAGCACAATTTCTTCATTCATAACTAAATTTCTTTCAGACATTAAGACAGCTAATATGCAATTATATAATTAAAAGTCTTCTTTCATCTGGATTTTACTAAATCTATAACTGTTTTAGCCAGTAAAAGCAAATTATATTTTGGCCTCTAAAATGGATTCATATACTTTGAACATCTTTTGGGATGTATTTGCCCTTGAATTATGAGATAGAAAATACTTTCCGTGACTGGATCTGTTAATACCTGTGGAGGAAGCATCTGGTACCCTTGTTCTTGGGCTGGAGTCACATTCAGAATTAAAGTGGGGGTAAAAAGAGGCTTTTTCCCCCACCAAATGCCTTAGTCCTATTTTTATATAGCACACGATTATTTCTAACTATAAAAGTAGATATGATTATTGTGGAAGATTTGGGAACCACAGGAAAATGCAAAGAAAATAAAAATTATTCTATCCTTATTCTGTTATCTCTAATTAGCAACTATACACAAATGTTGACTTTTCATTCTAGTCTTTTTTTCTAGGTATAGATACTTTTAAACAAAATTGAGATCATATGGAACAAATCATCTTATAGTCTGCATTCCCAATGAACACTGCTTAAAAACATTTTCTCATTTTATTAAATATCTTACAGATTTTAAAAAACTTTATCCATTGCTGAATATTTATATTTTTAAATTGCTTAAAATGTTATTACTTTAATGGAAAACTTCTTTGTACATATCTTTATGTATATCTTGGACTTTTTTTTACGGATAACTTTAATCTTTTAAAAATTTATTGGTTTCAAGGAATGACAAGTAATTCAGTTTCTCCTCTCTAGCAATTCTGGCTAAGTCCTCTTGTCTGCAAGAATTGTATCTTTATAACACCATCATGTTGGTCTGTCCGGAATGGTGCAGTAACGCTTCATTTATCTAACACCACCATTACGGAACTTCTCATAAATAAATTTTTCACGTAACTGAAACACCCTTAAAAGTGTCCATACTAGGTTATTGTAAAGTATGTGAGTGTGATTCTTTCTAAAATTAAATTACATATGTTGCTATCCTCTTTAACATAATGAAAGTATTTGAAAATCATAATTTAACCCCTCTGGTCTAAATCACAAGCGTCCTGGGACTTCCTTTGGTGGTCCAGTGGTTAAGACTCAGTGCTTTCACTGCATGGGGCTGGGTTCGATCCCTGGTCGGGGAACTAAGATCCCATAAGCCATGTGGCATGGCCAAAAAAACCCCGAAAAACAAAACAAAACACACAACACACAAGCATCCTTGTAAACACTAGTTATTATACAGTCAGTTCTGCTAAAATGCAATATATGTGTTTCTAAAAACCACCATGCTATGCAGTAAACCCCCCAGTGCTTAAGGGGAAAGTAGGATCAGGGACATAACACTCAAAAACCTTTATCAGTGAGGCAGCCCAGCACTGGAGCCTACCTGGGCTCTTTGGTGGGGCTGATGGCAGACTCTGGGAGGGCTCACGCCAAGGAGTACTTCCCAGAACTTCTGCTGCCAGTGTCCTTGTCCCCATGGTGAGACACAGCCACCGCCCGCCTCTGCAGGAGACCCTCCAACACTAGCAGGTTACCTGCGCCACTCGTAGAGCCATTTGTGAGGAAAGCCTGTCACATGGCCCTGCCGACCTGGCCACAGCTGACTGAATCACAGGGGACACGGGTTCAAGCCCTGGTCTGGGAAGACCCCACATGCCGCAGAGCAACTAAGCCCATGCGCCACAACTACTGAGCCTGCGCTCTAGAGCCCACAAGCCACAACTACTGAGCCCACGTGCCACAACTACTGAAGCCTGCGCACCTAGAGCCCGTGCTCTGCAGCAAGAGAAGCCACTGCAATGAGAAGCCCGCACACCTCAACAAAGAGTAGCCCCCTTTCGCCACAACTAGAGAAAGCCACGCACAGCAACGAAGACCCAACACAGCCAAAAATAAATTAAAAAAAAAAAAAAAAAAAAACCTTTATCAGTGACACATTAAAAAAAAGTAAGATGGGAACTGAATAAAAATCGGAGCACAGTTTTACACATATTAGTTGGTCAAGAAGTAAATAGATAAAAAGTGCACTAAATATGGCATTTTACCTTGAGAAAGTCTTGACATTTCCTGTGGACTGAGGCCCTGGAAGGGTTGCAGTTTATGCGTCACTGTGAAGTGGTGGAAAGAGGGTTACCTGAAATCAGAAGGAAAGTTGGGGCACCCAGCTTGGAAGCTGTGGCTTGGCACATGTCGGGGGGACTGAGATCGCCAACAGATATTTGAGGTGTGGGTTTTGTGCCTTTTGTGTATCCTTAGACAGCTGGGTTCCGCCCCGTGCAATCTTCTGCTATTACCTAATGTTTCTTGCAGTGAAATCATACCTAAACAAATGTGAAAATCAAGTTACGCTCAAGTTGCTCCCTACTGTATCAACCTTGGAACAAACACGAGTGTTATAGAACTGAGTGTACTGTGTGGCACCAGCGTGATGTCTAGGGGATATTTCTGCTTGTCTCTATCCTAAATGGAGTTAATACATGTAAAAACACTTAGAGAAGAATCTGGCTTGCGAGTGTATACTGTGTAAGTGTAACAATAACATTGTAATAGTAACTCTAAACTGTAACAGTAACAATGACAGTAATAATAAATGATGACTATTGATGCCTGTGGGATTCTGACTGCCTACCGTGGCAGTGCTTCCTGCCTCCTCCTAAAGGACCTATTTCTCAATCTCTTATGGCTTTTAAATGAATTTATCACGCTTCTTAGAATTACATCTAACGTGAGGCCCAGTGTGGGAGAGGCTGACAGGTGCACAGACTTTAGGTTATGGTGTACCTGTGGCATCTGTTACACCTACTTAAACTTGTTTATCTTATGAATGATGTATTACCTATGTATTCATTCACAGCATTGTTGGGGGAAGTAACTTATGTTTTAAGTGAGATTATCATCATGCAGAATTTTCGGATTTTCTGTTTTATTAGAAAAAAATTGGGACTTCCCTGTTGGCGCAGTGGTTAAGAATCTGCCTGCCAATGTAGGGAACGTGGGTTCAAGCCCCGGTCCGGGAAGATTCCACATGCCTCGGAGCAACTAAGCCCGTGTGCCACAACTACTGAGCCTGTACTCTAGAGCCCTTCGGCCACAACTACTGAGCCTGCGTGCCACAGTTACTGAAGCCCGTGCACCTAGAGCCTGTGCTCCACAACAAGAGAAGCCACCGCAGTGAGAAGCCCGCACACCGCAACGAAGAGTAGCCCCCGCTCACTGCAACTCTAGAGAAAGCCCACGCAGAGCAACAGAGACCCAGTGCAGCCAAAATAAATAAATAAATAAATTTATTTTTTAAAAAAACTTAACACGCCTCTCCTCATTCCCACCTGCAAAAGTGAAGTGTGCTTCAATGGATACATCTGAAGGGCATCTACAAGTTGTTGATGAATTTCTTTAAGTTGTTATTGTTCACTTCTATTTACAACTGCTTCTGTGTTTGTGAGATGAGCTCATCTTTGGAAGGTGAGGCAAGCAAGTGTGATTTCAGAAGACCTTCCCTCCCAAGTCACAGTATAATTAGAAGTCCACATCCTCCCTAAGTTGCTTTTTAGAACTCCCTGAGAAGGACATTTTTATCGTGAACGGTTGCCAACAAGCCTTGCTGATTCCGGCTTTAGTAACTTTAATTAGATGACAGATCAAAACACCATCTAGATTTAGCAAGTCTTGTTAGTATTGTTCTGAAAGAAAAGAAGCTAATATAGCTCATCATTTAGATATTCCAATGAAATCTGTATTTTAATTATGCAGAGGCTGTGAATAGCAATGGGGTGTTTTGATTTTTAATTTCTAATCTGACTTTGAATGTTAACTTTTTGTCTCTACACAATTTCTAGATATATTCGGGCTGCCTGACCTCATTGAGTGATTGCTATTAATTAACAAGACTTTGTGGGAAAAGGGAAATTGCCTTCTGAGCTTTGTACCAAAGACCTGGGAAAAGTAAGTAATTTTCTAATTCGCTTTTTAAAAATTTTGTTACATTTCTCTCAGAAAGTTAACAGTTTGTCTGTGGCTTTTCTACTTCCTTTCTTTCCTGGCTTTGTAAGTTTTATATGCTCTTACAGACTTGAAACATGGAAAGGGACTCAGGAGACCTTTAAAAAAAAATAAAACAACCTTTCAGGAGATTAGGATGACTTTCTGCAATGTGCCATTTCTTTGTGATTTCATAAACTGAGTCCTCAAGGTTGTGATAAAACCTTTATTAGGTGTTCAGTAGATGAATTAAACTCTAAAGGTAAGACAGTGTAATATGGTGTGACAGAAAAGTGAGTCCAGTTTTCTGAGCTTCAGGAGTTTTAGACTTTTAGATAAGCTCTTCGGTTCTGAATTTTTTAGAATAAGAATGTAATCCATTTGGTTCTTTTCTTGTCTGGAAAGGAAAATAAAATGTGGAATCACTTGTTCAATAAGTCCCTCATGTAGCTTGGTTTTGGAAGAATTGATGCATCTGTCAGTTTTATTGTTTTATAACTTTTTCGAGAAACTCTAAGATAGTTTAATTGAGAAACCTGTGTGAATGGCTTGACTATCTTGTAGAAAAAATTGTTTGGTGCCATAAAGGTCAGTTTATTTCCCTGATCTTTTTGAAGAGAAAGGTAAAATGGGCCCTAAAAATAATACAGTCTACTTTTTTGTAGGTAGTACTTGGAAATGTGAGTGGCCCATAAGAATGTAAGTGAAACAACACACATACACATACACACGCACTCACGCATGTGCATTCACACACACCTCCTTTCTGGTGTATTCCGGAAGCAATATCATTGACAGTAGGAACTGTTTGCTCATTAAATCACTAGATAGTTTTCTAAACTTTGTATTCTTTGTGTATTGCAGCTCCTCTACATTTCTGACAGTACAAATGAGATAGTTGAAACATTCCTAAAACAAAACAAGACAGAAAAGAACTATACTCTAGAAGTTCCATAGAAGCATTAAACAGTAAGATCAGATTTTATTGTTATATTGTTTGTAGTGTAAATTTATTTATAACTAAATTGTGTGTTATTTGAAATAATTTTAATAAGGTAAGGGTCTTTAATTATGAAGCTGTCTTGAAGTTAAATAAGATGTACTGAAAAAATATTACATACACACACAGAGTATACACACACCACGAAAACAGTTTCTGAGAGCCATCAAGTCTCTGTTAAAATATAAATCCAATGAAAGCAAGGACTTGGAAAATTTTCTCCAAAAACATTTTTTTTTGTTACAGTGAAACATTTGCAGTAGTGAAATACTATTGTCAGTGGAATTAAAAAAAAAATGATAGCAATATATTTAGTTGAATTTTTTAGCCTTGTATTCACATATTAACCTTAAAATAAAGGATATTTATTCCATCCTGGAAGGATATTTGAAAGAGGATTATGTTGGAAGTCACCAGTCTGTCCACAGAAGTAGAATGAAAAGAGCTTAAGATTAATTCTCTGGCCATTAGGATCTCAATATTTGCAGTGGTGTTTAGATTGGAAATACAACTTAGCCCCAGAAAGTGAGCTACTTAAACTGCCTTTCAAATAATTTAGCATTTCTTTAAAATTTAATATAGTCCCTGGTGAAATATATTCCTTCCATTACACCAAAATATTCCCTTTGTGATATTGCTGTAAAAGTTACTTTTCCATTTTGTAAAAGCAAGGCATCAGTAGGACTTTTGATCACCACAGTAAGCTAAAGACAGTCCCTGTGTTACCAAAGGGACTATGGCAGAAGGATCCCTGCTTACTGAAACTGATGTCATAGGTGAAAATTTATATGCACAGAAGGATATTCACAGTTGACTTTTAAGTTAAAAAGGAGGTGGTTATAATGCATAAGTATGCTCTGTATAAATCTAGTGCTGAAGAATTAGTTATATGGAAGTAAACATTAAGGGAGAGGGCAGAGTGGGGGGAGATGGAGGGAAGTCCCTTCTGAAATTTACAAAAGTCACAGGTGAATGTTTCTGAAAGTACTTTGAAAACTATAAGGGGTACTTAAATGAATTGGTGACTTATTTTGGGGGAGGTTAGTGCAATTTTAGGGAAAATTCAGAACCCTAAACAACCACCACACTTCCTTTTTGTTTTTTTTTTTTGCTGTACGTGGGCCTCGCACTGTTGTGGCCTCTCCCGTTGCGGAGCACAGGCTTCGGACGCGCAGGCTCAGTGGCCATGGCTCACGGGCCCAGCCGCTCCATGGCATGTGGAATCTTCCCGGACCGGGGCACGAACCCGTGACCCCTGCATTGGCAGGCGGACTCTCAACCACTGCGCCACCAGGGAAGACCCCACACTTCCTTTTAACTCCCAGTTTCCTCTACTTTTATTTTTTTCTTAATCACAAATATGTTTTCAAAGACTTCCTTGTTTCAAGTGTTTTATTTAATTGTTTGAAGTAGGTTTGTGGAAACTTGAGTCTATAATATTGACAAAATGTGGATGCACTTTTGAAAAATTAGCCATGGATTATTTTAAAAGAAGTAGAAAAAGCTTGTATTTTATTATCCTGTTTAATACATATTTATGTTTATTTTTATGTTAATACTATCAGAGTAGTATATGCTACAAATTATTTGGTATCCTTTCTTTTCCACTTAATAAATAATGAATTCCCATGCTAATAAATATTTGCCTACAATATCATTTTTAGTGAAAGAGAAACAGTTGAATCTTAGCTTTTTGTTTAATTTTAGGTGATCCTGGCTTTCAGTTAGAAGGGAGTATAAATATGTGAAATATATGGTGTGGGTTTTTCATCTGTGAGCAGAGAATAGACTAGGATTCACCTTCTACAATCTCTACTGTGTTTACTGTAACCAGACATGTTCTGAACAGGAGGCTTGTGGGACTAAATATGTGTTCAAAATGGTAAATGTCACTGTTTGACAGGTACTGTGTATAAAGCTTGTGACTTCTTTGGTCCCTTTGTTATATTACAAGAGTGCAGGTGACATCTTCCTCCCGCTTAGCTGTCTTCATCAATATTTCTGTGCCAAAGGAAGGATTCTACCCATGTATTTCTTCCTCCCAAGAAGCTCTTAATATCTCAGATGAGGTGATGGGTACAGAAGGAACGTTTCATAGACTTTGGAATATAATTTATTGGAGCAAATTGAAATCCAAATTAATTGCAGATGCAAAATGTATTATAGACCTTTGCATGCCTTCTCAATTTTAGGTTCATTTATTAAGCCAGCATTTTTTGCACAACTACCATGTGCCAGGCACTGTGTTAGGAGCTCCTTATAGAGAGATGAACGAGATATGCTCTTGCTTTCAGGGAACTTAATTTGAGTTTCAAATTCAGATTCAAATAACATGTATTCAGTGTGTATCATGTGATATTCTGGATATATTCAAATGAGGCGTTTGACCACTAACATTCAGTAATGATATTCATTGACCCACCCCTTCCAAAATAAATCATGAATAGAATTTTCTAATCCTTAAGGGGTTTTTTTTCCATTATATTTTCCTGAACTTTTGGTACCTGCTACTACTTGTTAAGTTAAATTAGCAAATAGGAAAAAAAAAGTTAATGAATAACAAGCATTTAATCAATAAACTTAGAACAATGATTTAAAAAACGTGTGTATATATTTGTACACACGTGTACACACACACACACACACACATAATATTTGGGAAGCAGTATGTATATAATGCAGTTGTAATTTCTCCTAGTAGAATAATTCTTGGTTCATGTGGTACAGTTAAATATACCAAGATTTCTGATATTCTGCCCTTAGACTGGCTCTGCTGTCTGAACAAGTGTGGAAGTCATAGTAGTGAGTCACTAGATTGTCACAGTAATTCTCAGGGTAGGGATTATTGAAACTCGGGGGAAAGTAACTCTCCAGCATTCACACGGCTAGAAAAGGTTTGAGTTAGGATTCTAACTGTGATCCATCTAACTTTAAAGCCCATGAGGTATCCATCTGACTCTGGTGAGCTTGTAGGGAAGATGGATTCACAAATGCTGTGGGCCTGCTGAGGAAGGGGCGGTCTTTTCCCGAGGAGTCAGGAGTCTGTGTGGCATTGGGCATGTTCCCCATTTTCTCAAAGTCCATCTCTTCATCTTTAAAGAAGAGTTGGTAGTAGGATCTAGCAGGGCATTGGACCAGAGCAATTAAAGAGCATTGGTAAGAGAAGTAGCTAGGCATGTGAGTTGGAGAAATAATAGGTCTGGAACTGGAAGCCACTGCTAGCAATTAACCCTGGGAGTGTGCTGGGAATTGTAGTAAGAGTTTTACATATTTCATCTTATTTAATTCTATATATCAGTTCTGAGAGGTAGGTGTTATCGCCCCATTATAAAGATTTTGAAACTGAGGCTCAGTGAGGTTAAATAACTTGTCTAATGTCACATAGCTAGGGAGTAGAGTGGTCAAGACTTGAACTCAGGTCTGTATGACTCTCATGTTTATGCTCTTAACCACTGTGCTATGATCAGAAGTAATCCTTTCTGTGTGTCAAACTCGCTTAATACCCTACTTCAGTCTCTCTGATAGTATATTCTGATTTTATCTTTTATTGTTTTTAACTTGAATTGGGTTATAGTTATTTACATAATGTTTAATAGACTGTAAGGTCTTGAGGCCTGGGATCCAGTCTCATTCACTTTTTTTTTTTTTGTCTTTCATAACTCTTTGCTCAATAAAATTTGCATTGATAAGATGAATAAACTCTAAGATATTTTGTCCCTTGAAATTCAGTGTTTTAAAATTATATATGTAAAGCTTCTGTTGACGTTATATCAAGTGTTACTTAAATGGGGGTAATTGGATTTTAGTTTGATATTTGTTTATTTATTTATCTATTTAGTTGTTTGATATCTAGATTGATCTCTAAAGTTTCAGGAAATTCCTAATTGCCATTTTATCTTGTGACTTGCTGTCCAAAACTGAAGCTGAGACTAAAATGCACGTCTTGTAAGCCCTTTTGGAGGCTGTAAAGCTGTGCTTGCTGCTTCATTGCTATGGCAGGTATAAAACTGTCTTAAATGATATTTTTGAGTCCATAAAAAATACTACACCATCATTCATGCAGGTAAGGACCTCAGTTTGTGAAAATATGTGGAGCCCTTGTGTTGACGGTTACTCCTGTTGGTCCTGGCTGGTTTCAGATTTAGACAACAAACAGAAGTACTTTTCTGGTTCAGGGCATATTATGGGAGACCGTTGGGGTCAGGCTGCCTAGGTTTGCACCCTAGTTTCTTGGTTTATGAACTCTGTGACTCAAGACAAGAAAGCATCTGTAAAAGGAAGATGGATAAGAAAACAGGTTGTTATAATAGGTTCGTGTACTTGGTTCACTGGGAATTTAGGGAAAAAATATCCGTATTCAGATGGGAGCCACTTTTGCTCAGACACTCTTTAAAAGGAGGCCAAAACTGTGAGCTCGTAGGCCAGAACTTGACGGTTCAGTATTACAGCCCGTGTTTATCCCTAACCCTTTGCTGTTTTTAAACCAGAGTTCATGTTCTCTTGTAACTACTGCATTTATTTTCCTGAACTCTAAGGACGTAGTTTAGGCTTTGCTTCATGTTCCGTATGCTGGAGGAGAGTAGGAAACGACGTCTTTTAAGAAAATAGAAAATGTTACTCAAGATCAACATTGCCTCTGGGCTTTGAAAAACGCTGGGGTTTCTTTCATCTTCCAAGAGAGCTGTGAGGAAGGAAAGCAAACCCTGGGGAAGTTTCAGAGCTTGTCTCTGCCGCTGTTACTGGAAAAGGGGAAAGTAAGGGCCCGTAAATAGCTGTCATGGCCGCAGTTGATGGCAGGTTCAGGTGTGCTAGAAATAAAGCACAGGGAGCTGCTTATTCCCACGGCTGCTGCTCGGCCTGACAGCAGGAGAATGGGTCTCAGAACGTGGCTCTACAGTGAAAACAAAGTGTCCCGTCCATCACAGGCATACATTTCCTAAATTTCAAGTTGCACAAAGATTCATGATGT